AAAGGTGGGTGTTTCGTGAAATTTTCTTTTTTTTTTTTTTTTTTTTTTTTTTTTACCATTTCTCCATCCTATCAGGATTTGGGGCACACATGTATACTCACCCAGCATATTTCTCATGTCTCATAGGCTAGAATTCAACCAGTGGTAAGTCATGGGGAATCCAATTCCCTGTGCATTGTGCTTAATCACTGCACTACAGGCCACCCCCTTTTTTTACTTCTTTATTTTGTCATTTTTGTTTATTTTTTATGTGTTTTCTTTAGATAGGGCCTCACTATGTTGCCCCGGTAGATGAAACCTTGTGATCTTCCTATCTCAGCTTCCCAAGTGGCTGGGAATCTAGGTATGCACTGCTGTGCCCAACTTTTTAGGATGGGCTGAGAATTGAACCCAGGCCTCCCATGTGGCCTCAGTCTAAGAAGCAGGAGTGTCCAGCATGTGCCACTGTCATTTGACCAAGGCCTATATTGCTTTTAAACTAGGAAGTGACTTATTTCAAGATCTACCTGACACATGAATTGAGAGATTGCAAAAAATAACAGAGAATCCAGTCACTAGATTATTACAACAGCTTAGGTAAAACTACAGGTGGGTTTGAAATAAGTTTCCAGAAGGAGGCATGGAAAACAGGGAGTAGATAAGATATAATTTGATGATAGAATTGACAGAATGTGGTGGGACCAGGAGTTGGTGTAATGACTATGTTGCTGGACTCCCATGTAGTTGACTGTGGTTGGAGTCCTCAACCTGGTGGCTTAAACTCACATTGAGCGTGTGCATGCATGCCCAAGATCCTGAGAGGGAAACGGAGGAGAAGGAATTGCAGTGTGGCCATCCTCCCTGGAGGGGGGTGGGGGATGATTTCTCACTTTCTGTCTCTCTGTCTCTCTCTCTGTCTGTCTGACAAGCACACACACACACCCTGTAGCAAAAACCTGTCAAAAAAAAAATTGACAGAATGTGGTAACCAACTAGATGAGGCCAGAAGGTTGATTATGTTGACTATGGATTTTAGAAAAAATTGAAACTTTAAACAGCTATGGAATGAATACATATACACATGTATACAATGTATATATTAGAGAGATCTAAAAATCATACAAAATATATACTATGAAAAAAATTATGTATAGATTTCAAAATTTTTTGCACTTATATTAGCTTCCACTTTAATTCCATTTCTTCAGTTTTTCCTGAAGTACACTTGAGTGTGTATGTGTATACTGTTTTTTACAACTCTTTGCTTTTTGTCTTTGCCTGGGTTGGCAGTCCCATGGATGACCTCCCACCCATCCTTCAATACAAATAGGTCCACTTAAGCTAAAAAAAAAAAAAAATGCGATTCTACCCTCCTCTTCAAACATACACATACGCACTTATGTCTTATTGATCTTTCTGCCAAATCCTAGGTTACATTTTTCTTTTAAGCTTAAATGATTAATGAATTCTCCCACAACTAATGAGCTTGATAAAAAAGAAATCTAGCCTTGCTCAATAATTTGGTACTTTACCCATGTATTAGTGAGAAAACACAGCCATGCATTGATTATTGTTAATGATATCATGGTGCCCGAGCACCTGCAATCTTTGTCTTGCTCTTGTAGGTCATTGGGATTTATAGATTACCTGCTAGAGATTACAAAGGAGAACCTTGAGTGGCAATGGCAGCGCACTCCCTTTGACTCCAAGGAATTGTTTCATTGAGAATTCTAAACTTGCTTCTCCAAAATCATTCGTTTTCTATTTGTCTATGTATTTTAATACTATGGACCCGCCCCAAAAATCAAATTTTGATTATTTAGAATATTGTGAAAATTTTATAAAAATTTTCAGGTGAGAGTGGAGAAAGAAAATAACATCCTCACGCTTGGTGATGATTTTCCTTTGGTAAAACAGGTTAGTTCTCTAGCTGGCAGTTGTTAGTTACTGAGATGGTTGTGAAACAGGCACTCACTCCATCACTCTGGCCAAGAAAACAAGTAAAGCTCAAGTCTTAAGAGATTTTTCAAAATCAGGGAAAGCAGAGTGGCTTAACAACATTCAGAATTCTATACTTCTTTTTCCTTTTTGATTTGTTTTTCATGGGACTGGATATGCAAGATAGTTGAGTATATATACAACATATAAATATTCCACAGGAACTTTTTTTAGACTGGTGTTACGTGGCTAAAAACCAAATAGGTTGGCTGGAAAGGATGAAAATGGTACATAAAAATGGCTTTAATAAAAAAAGGCAGGATAAGTAGGTTTTTTAAAGGATAAATCTTGGAGGAAAATTATTTTAAGGACTTGAAGCTCAAGTGTTACTGTTGCTTTTTATTTCACATCCTTAAAACTTATATAAGCAAAATGGCATATTCATTATTCTGATATTAAAAATTACTTAGATATAAGGATTTATTAAGGTGTTACAAGCTTATGAAAAATAGAAGGTAAGATTCATCAGAGTACCTAATGGATAAAATTGATCTTTTAACTCATAGTGTAACTGAAGTGGTAACCGATACGCAATACACAATTCTCATTACTTGTTGAATGAATTAACATTTGTTGAATAAATTAACTAGCTGTTCTTGGTGAACCTGTTTAGTTAATTTCTAAATAGTTATAAAGGAATGCAACTTGCTTCCATAATTCAGGTTTTAAAAGTGTTTAAAGATGAATAGAAATAAATAAGCAAAAACATTGTCTCGCCCAAGCTTCAAATAGTGCTACGGCATAAAATTTGTACTCTCAAATACATGAGAATAAAATGCCTTAGTTTTATGAAAAAAAATGAACACTAGTGACAAAAACAGTTGATGTCACCACTGTGAGAGTCTAATAGCTATACATTTTTTTCATCTACCTTAGCGAGACCAGTCAAGAGGATAAACCTCACACATATCATCATAAAAATTAAAGTACATGAATAGATGGGATTAAGATATCAGTATGTGGGTATTGAAGTATTATGCTCTAAATCTTCTAAAAACTGGGCTAAAATGTCTGCACCAAATAAAAGGGTTTCTATATAAGAGCAAGCTGGCTTCTAACAATGCCTCAAAATTCAATGTTTTGCCTGAATGACTCAATTTACATCTCCAAGTCTCTTAAGATTGAAACTAGAAATCATATAACTTTAAGAAGAAAATGCAGGAAGCCAGAATGAAAATCAGCATGATTTAATGTTGTAAGAAAAGTTCTGCAATGCCAAAAATAATTCCAAATGCTATTTTTTTTCTCTGTAGCTTTAGGTAAGTAACCAAGACTTAGACTTGGAAATCTTTTTTAAAATGGATAAATAAAAATAAAAGTACACCAGCCTCACACCCAGCAATATTTCATGTAAGGCAGGTTGGAAGCTCTGTGTCTTAAACTTCCCCTTTACTGCAGCATATGCTCTCAGTTAGTTGGCTTGACCATATGGTATATGGTATTGATATAAAAGCTAAAGTATGAGAGATGAATTAATGGTAAAATAAAGAGCTTTTGTTATAGAAAACGACAAATCCAATTGTTCCATTGTTAAAAATGGTTTTTACTCAATAAATTAGTCAAAAGTACATATTTATCTAATAACTTTAACAACTAATTGTTCCTAAAGAAAATACATGTATTCCCACCATTGTTATTGTATCGATATTGCCTTTATAGAGATCTTTCCATTTGAGTGTGTGTGTGCATGCACATGTGAACATACAAGCACACATACACAAATTTGTATATTTACAGAATTTTGATCCTTTCATTTTCACATAAAATTGAAATTTAATCAATACCCCCACATTATTTATATATTTGAACTTTATTTTCCTTCTATGTAATGCTTAACTCATAACATGAGAACACTGTTATTTATTTAAAATTTTCCATGATTATTGTAGAATCCTCTTACAAATATATTTTCTTTTTCTTTTCTTTTTTTTGGAGAGGTTTTTGCTATAGGGCGTATGCACTTGCCAGACAGACAGAGAGAGACAGAGAGACAGAAAGCGAGAAATCACCCCCCAGGGGGATTGGCCACGTCACAATCCCTTCTTCTCCGTTCTTCTCTCGGGTTCTTGGGCATACCCGCACACGCACCTGGCATGAGTTTAAGCCACCAGGTCTGGGACATGAACCTCTGTCGACTACATGGGAGTCCAGCAACATAGCCATTACGCTAACTGCTGGTCCCTTCTCATCATAGTGGATTCTTATTCACATTCTCCACATATGTGGCATGCTAGCTGGATGTCTCTTGGCATAATCGTTAACACGTTTGGCATGGATAGCACACAGGCTGGTATCTTCAAAAAGGCCAACCGAATAGGCATCACTTACCTCCTGCAAAACACCAATAGCTACGCTCTGGAAATGCAGATCTGTTTTGAAATCCTGAGCAATTTCTCATACCAGAAATTTTGCGAATCTGATAACGTCTAATTTCACGGAGTGCCACAGTACCAGGCCTGTAACCATGAGGTTTCTTCATTCCTCCAGTAGAGGGCGCACTCTTGTGAGGAGCTTTTGTAGCCAGTTCCTTCCTGGGTGCTTTACCACCAGTGGATTTGCAGGCTGTCTGCTTTGTAAGAGCCATGGTATAGAGACCTCCTCACTCTTCTTCGGGAGAAACTCAGTGAGCTAGAGGTGGCGTTGGAGAGCGATGGCCGATTTTTTTTTTTTTTAACTTTAACACACCTTTATTGGCTCTTACTTGTTAGACTCAGGTTGCATGTTTGTACTGTTATATCCTCAATTATACAATGGCAATCTACAGCCATACAACTGGTGCTGTTCATAGGGAAGTTAGAAATTGGGTTGTGCAACTTGGGAATGGTTTGATCTAGAGGTTACTGCTCATAATGATTAGTAGTCAATGGGAACAGATAAATCCCCAAAGCAGTCAGCCTAGAAAGACAAGAGATGGAATGATAAAGGATTGGGAGCAAGTCTTGAACTTAAATAAGAAAAAAAAATAGCAATTTGTAGTAAATAGGTTTTTTGGTTGTTGTTTGATGGCTTACCTTTCTCCCTGTCCAAGAAGATTTAAGTTGGATTTGATTTCGATCAGTAAGTATATGTAAGGGAAAAGCAGGAAAAGAAGCTAAGTGTAAATCTAAAGACTAGATTTCATACTGAACATTTGTGAGACTGAGAGAGGAATGAGAGATTTAAGAAGCTAATTCTGGCTAAATTGAGTCTCACACTGCATAGTCTGTTTTATATGCCTTAAATGCTGAATGGCTGAACAAAGTTCAATGGGATGGAACTACCAAGTGAAGTGTACAAAGGAAGTCTCATATTTGGTAGAGAATCCCCACACATTTTAAGTGGCAAAGGTCAGAAATTACTCAAGTGTCTATGGAACTGACCAAAGGAAGCCACTGTCTGGTCACTGCTTTTGCCTAGAGTTTTTGTCCATTGGTCAATGTACTGTATATCATGGCAACAACAGTCAATTTACAAGGTAAAAGGTAGCATTTGCAATGAAGTTAACACTGACAAAAATTGAATAGGTCCTAATTGAGATGGCCAAATATTGTGGGAAACCATTCAGAAAACTTCCAGTCAGTTGTAATCTCTATAATTACAAATGGTACCATTGTGATGCCTAAATGTATTACTTTAAAGCAAAAAGAAACCAAGTTTAATAAGAAACACCAATAATCTGGGGTAAAGGTAGAGTAAAAAACTGAAGTTGTTTCCCTCAATTGCTATAATATTACAGTAAAAGTTTGGTACAGATTTTTATATTAAAAGTTAGATGGCACCAAAAGCAAAATTTGATAAAATGGTCTTTTAGTGCACAACATCTGTAGTTACATCTAATTAAATTTGAATCTACTTAATTAACACAATTCACTATGATATTTATACAAAAGACTCAAAAGATTGGCCCCAAAAGACTTTTTTGAAATTGCCAGGGGTTGTGTGTGCTCGTCACAAAGAGAGAAAACACCCCCACCCCCAACAGGGCATGATCACACCTCAATCCCCCTTCCTTCCTCCCTCTTGTCAGGACTCTGGGCACACATGTGAATATGCCCTGCATGCCTCTCAAGCTGCTGGGGCTAGAACTTGAATCTTGGTTGGCCATGTGGGATCTGGCTCCTCTAAACATTTGGCCATAGGACCGAGCCTACAAAAGATCTGAAAATAGCTCATGTCATACACAGTTAACCTAAGAATAACCTACAAGGAGAAAGAAGGAGAGCTGGCAGAGGATCACTATTTTGAAAAGGCACATAAGGAAGCCAAATCATTAACTATGACAATGCGTATGAATTGTACAAGGAATAATAACATTCTGCCTTCAAGCCCCAAAGTTTGGCACTCTCTCAGTCATCCCTCTTCCAGTTAGATGGCATCTGAACACCTCAAGGCAATCTCTTATTTAGATTTCTTGTTCTGTAAGCTAACTGAAAGAAGAGAAAATGAGAAGAGCATGAGTAGTAGCTTCTGCTCACAGATGACTAATAAATAAAGAGCATCCATTTTTGTTTCAAAAAACAAAGCCTTATTAATTCTTTTTCCATAAGAGAAGAGCAAATTGGCAATTATATATGCTAAGGATTTGGAGTCTTATAGCAAACATTGCAAGTTTCATTAGAAACCTAATTATAAAATAGCTGGTTTTGCTCTAAATTGGGACTTAAGTGTATTTATGTATGAAAAACAATGTAATTCATCTAAATTCCCTCAATATTTGTTTAGTATCTGTTCTATTATTCAATTCCACCTCCTATCACATTCCAAAGACTTACAGGGGTTATGCAGGTGTTTCAGTGCATGTCTAACATGATGCCCCAAGAATAAAGGCATACAGTAAGTGTTTATCAAAGCAATGAGTAAACTATTTTTTTTAAAGAGTTACTTTTATGCCATTCATCATGAGAAAAAAATATATGTGTGTGTGTATATATATATATATACACACATATATCTATGTGTGTATATATGTGTGTGTGTATATATATATAATCTTTTTAGAGAAAGATTTTTGCTAAAGGGCATATGTGCTTGCCAGAGAGAGACAGAGAGACAGAAAGTGAGAAATCACCCCCCAGGAGGGATGGCCACACTGCAATCCCTTCTCCTCTCAAGATATTAGGCACGATCACACACACATGCACTCAGCATGAGTTTTATCACCGGGTCTAGGATTTGAAGTGCGGTTGACTACATGGGAGTCCAACAACATAACGATTACACCATCTGCTGGTACCAAGAAAACTGTATTTCTAACAGTAAGTTTTGATAGATGGCTTTACTAAATAACTTCATAGTATCGAGGAAAATGAAATCTCACAAGGACATAAACTGTAAGAGTACACAGACTGCTTTATTATTTTTATTATATCAGTACTCGTAGCCCTGATAAACAGATATTTCTACCTGGGCCCATTTGAAAGTTACACTGAAATCAATGCCAACTATATAGACAAAGAACTAGAGGATTTAAAATGAACAGCAATGCCAATTCTATAGACAAAGAACTAGAGGATTTAAAATGAAATCAAGTGCAGTCCTCTCTGGTGTTAGACCAGTTCAATGAGTTGTGAAGTTTTGAAGCTGTCCTTAGAGAATATAAATTAATTCCTAAGGATTACTTTCCTCACTAGGTAAAAGGTAGAACTGAAATTGTGGGGGATAGGTGATGCTTTGTTCAATTAAGCAAAGTGCTTTATGCAAAAGGAATTCTTTTCCCAGATTTTCAGAGTTGTCTGACTTCTAAGAAAGAAGAAAGGCTTACTTTTCTTTCCTCCTGCTTGCTCAACATGTTCTTAAATAAATTATCCAAATGGAACCTGCCTGAAATTCTGTATCTTGAAATGCAGGCACTTATTTCAGAGTATTTAGTGCAATCAAAAAAATGCACTAATTTGTACATTAATACCTATCTTACTAATTCAGGCTAAATTGTATTATAAGAGATAATCAAAAAATAAATTTGAAGTTCTTTCTCAACCTAAATGATAAGAAATGAAAGTTTTCTAAGTACAAATAAAAAGGAATTTGTTCTTTACTACTTCTTTGTCCATTTCTTTGAATTCTAACCTAATGTGAAATTATAAATCTTCAGTGTTATGTGTGTTTACTTTTTATCATTCTCTTACAATTTGATCCAAGTGGACAGTGTACATAGCCAAGAACAAGACAAATAAGCTGTCTTCTGGTGAACACCAAGCCGAAGTGTACATTCTAGGAACAGTAAAAAGGAAAATGTACACATCCACATACACAATAAAAAACAATTGTAGAAACATGAAATGGGACCCTCATCCCAAACCTTAGAGAAAATGCAGAGTTGTGGAAATTATTTCAAAATTGCTTGGTCACCTTAACAGAATTTGAGAACGAGGCACACAAAAGAGGAACTTTTTGTGTTGCTAAAATGAGAAAAAAAAAATCAGGAAGAAAAAAAAATGGAATGATTAAATTAACAAATCAAAATCAAAGATACAAATTATGTCAAAATCAAATATACAAATTATGCTATACAAAACAGTATATCTTGGGAGGATCATTTGGAAATATCTAGAAACAAAATACACATACCCTTTGCTAAAAAAAACTTAACTACTAAAAAACACACAGCTAATTTCCCACTAATATGCAAAAATATGTTTAAGGGAAAATATACCATACCATGCTTCATAACAAAATGTGTACATAAGTCAAATATCCATGAGAAAATGGTCAATACACCCATTAAATAAAGAATAAATCTATTGAATGAAATACCATGTAGCAAATAATGAAAACAAGGAAATCTGTATGTTCAGAGATAAATCTATGTTTTATGTGAAAAAGAAGTTAGTTGCAGAATAGAACACTGTGCAAATAAATAAGGACATATGTCAGCCTATGCCTAGAAAATTTATGTAAGGATAGATAGGCAAGTCTCCAATGTGTTTATTTCTAGGAAGAAAATGGTGGCGGCAGATGGGGGTGGAAGTTTTGGATGGCTCTTTCTTACTTTATGCCTTCCTATGATGATGAATTTTTAACCACTGACATTTATTTATAAAATTGAAAATAGTATTAAAATACTGTCAAGATTTTCTTTAGATGTTGTATTTAAATATACACTCATGAAAAGATTTCTCAGATATATTAAGTTATAACAAGATACAGAAATATATGTAGAGTGTAATTTATACAAATATATATATATATATGTGTATATATATTATAGATAGGAATACATAGAGAAGACGTTGGAACTCTACATACAAAAATATCACATCTTTTGAAAGGAAAAACTTGTTTAACAAGATAGGGTAGGGTGAGAAGAGTGAGGTAAAGTAGGGTGCGACTTGTGTGCTTTATTTTGTTATATGTTCCCATTTTTAAAGTTTTACTCATAAGGAACATGTACTTTTGCATTGTTTTTATATAGTTGAAAAAAAATTAAAATAGTTTCTGAATCACTGGTATATAGGGATTACTTGATTCATCTTTCTAAGCATAGAAGAAAAAAATAACTGATGTTCTAAAATAAAAGCCACAACAATGTGAATATGTATAGCCCTAATGACCTGCCCACTTAACATGTTTAAGATAGTAAATTTTAAGTAATGTGATTTTACCACA